TGGACTCCTAGATGGGGATCCTCACCAGAAAGACAAAGCCACGACAAGACACTTAGAATTTTCAGCCCCACTGCCCCTGCCCCTGTGCTCCAGAGAAAGGAATGGGACTGGAAATAGATTTATTTTATTTTTATATATTTTTGAGATTTATTTATTTATGCATACAAGAACTGGGGTACAGGCCAGAGGTGTGGGGCGTGGGGCTGAGAGGATTCACCAGAGACAGAGTCGGGAACAGAACAGGCAGACTGACTGAAATACACTGCTGAGGGAAACAGCGGGCGAGTCAGGAGAGGTCTGCTGCACCATGTGGGTAGCTCCCTGGCTGGCTGGGGATTGAACTGCTGCAGAGGCTGCGGATAGCTTCAAGTGTGTGCTTAACCCCTTGTGCCACCAGGGAGGTCCTGGAAATAGATTTAATGATTAACTATGCCTAGGTGAAGAAGCCTCCATAAAATCCCAATAGTACAGGGTTCAGAGGGCTTGCGGTGGTGAACACATCCACACACTAATACCATGGAGACAGAAGCTTTTATGCTCTGGACCCTCCCAGACCTCCACTTGTGTACTTAATCTGGATATTCATCTGTATCCTTTTCCATATCCTTTATTATAAACTGGTAAATCTGTTTCCCTGAGTACTATGAGTAGCTCTAGCAAATTAACAGAACCCCAGGATGGTGTCCTAAGAAACTTACAACTGAAGTTGTAACCTGGATATTTTCTACTTGCAATTGGCATCTGAGGTCGGGGGGTGGGTAGAGTTTGTAGGACTGAGCCCTTAAACTAATCTCCAGGTAGACAGTGTCAGAATTGAGTTAAATTGTAGGACACCCAGCTGGTGTGGCAGAACTGCTTGGTGTGGGGGAAACTTCCACACATTCGGAGACCGGAAGCATCAGAAGTGAAGTGCTCTTTGTGAGTAGTATAGAAGAAACATAGGCATGGACCTCCCTAGTGGCTTAGGCTGTTGAGTGCAATACTGTGAAGCTATCCACACCCTCTGCAGTGGCAGGTTCGATCCTGGCTGGGGAGATACCTACATGGTGCAGCAGACCTCTCCTGTCTTGCCCACTGCTCCCCTCAGTAGTGTATTTCAGTGAGTCTGCCTGTTCCGTTCCCTGCTCTGTCTCTGGTGAATCCTTTCACCCTCCCGCATATGTGGACTGTACCCCGGTTCTTGTATGCATGAATGAATAAATCTTTTTGTTTTTTTTTTAAGATTTATTTATTTATTTATACAAGCACTGGGTACAGTCAGAAGTGCGGGAGGGTAAGAGAATCCACCAGAGCCAGAGCAGGGAACAGAAAGGCAGAAGGACCGAAGTACACTGCTGAGGGGAGCTCAGCGGGCGGCAGGAGAGGTCTGCGTGCCATGTGGGATCCTCACCCGGAGGCTGGGCATCGAACCGGCGCTGCAGAGGCTGCGGGTAGCCTTGCAGCCCAGCACTCAACCACTGCGCCACCAGGGAGGCCCTGAATGAATAGATTTTGAAAGAAAAAAAAAAGAAGAAACATAGGTGAAAATAAAGTTTTTCCTAAATACCTGCATTTTCCCAGTTTTTCCCTATAATAACATGTCTTACATAGCAGGCTGTTCAAATGTAAACACATATAGATATAAAACAGATACAAGGGTCTCCAAACTCCTGCAGACACATACAAATTAGGGCCCAGAATGCCAGTAAGAGCCCAATAGGCCTCCATGTTAACCAAATTGATAGATTAAGTCATGAGGACTAATGGCTTTCTTCCCCTCAGCTGCCTGAGGTCCTGCAGTGTAAGACTTGCTGTCCAACACCCTGTTAGGAAATTAATTATCCTGCCTCCATCTATCCTAATCCCATGTCCCAGGGGCCCAGAGAAGATTCCAGCAGAAAGGACACACTCATTTTTTAAGTTCAAAAGTAGCTACCAATATGAACCTACAGAGCATGTAGAGTTCTTTTACTTACCTCAAATACATCTCCTTTATCCTCAGTCTGGCTAAGGATTTTCCTTGGAAAAAAGGCGCCAGAAAATATTTAGCTCTCCAACTTTGAGTTTCAAGGCCATGGAGCTTAGAACTGGGACAGGGGAGATAGAAAACAACTTCTCCTTGCGAAGCTGGAGTCCTAAATCAAAGCATGGAAAAGAGGCCAAGGGCCCTAGGCTAACATCTGCTGTTGGGTCAGAGCCTGAACAAGCTCAGGCCCAAGCTCCGCCACGCTTGGCTCTGAGCAATGAGCAAGCCCAGGGGATTGTTAGAGGCCTCACAAAACCCAGCAACTCATATTGAAGAGCTTTTAGAGTGGGAAAGCTACTTTTCTACCCCAGGGGGCATTACTCTCCTTTTACCCTCCTCTGTCAGATTAAGTTGCTTTAAGCCCTATCATGTGAAAGCATCTTTCCAGAGCAAATCTTGGAACATTTCATAGGAAAGGTTCTTTTAAGCAGACATGAAAATGAGCCAATCAAGCTTTGGTTGTAAAAACGTAAAGTTCCAGTACTCCACTTGTAATACCATGTCCCTGACAGGAAGCTTTCTGTTGGGGAGGCAAGGGAAGAGGTAGGCAGACAGGCAGTTGTCTGGGAGGCCAGGAGTTCTCCTGCAAGCTGCTTTTCCCACGTTGGGGCTGATGCTCCAGCTTTATAGGAGGCTGTTGATGATGGCTGCGTGTCTGGGCAGCTCTAAACACCCAGCTCAAAGAAACAGGTCTTCATGGCAAAGGCCCTGGGGAGTCAGACTTAATCTTCCCTCCACAAAATATTCAAGCAGCACAGAGGAGTTGGCTTCCAAATGACATAACACAGGCAATAAACAGGCTGCTGAAGTCAGGAGCAGCTTACTTACCTCGCCCTTCTCAGGCCCTCCATTCTCCACATCTTAACTGAAAGGGTTGCTAACATATAAACTATCTCTTTGTTGACTGCTTTCTCTTCCGCCTTATCCACAGACCCTCCTTATCCTCTGCGGCAAGTCCTTCCAGCAGTGGTACAATTAAACTCTGGGACATATACACCAAGGGCATGTTTGTGTCCAAAGAATCTCATAGAGCCCTGGTTCTAGTTTCCAGAACCCTTCATTATCTTCAACCCAAATCTCTGCTCATCCCACCAAGTCCTTGAAGGCCAGTTCCAGAGCCTCCCTTTCCTGTATGGCAGCACATTCACGCCTGTCTTATTCTAGCCTTGCTAGTCTTGGCACCCTGGGCAACCCCACCCTGTTTCCACCCTCTTAATATTCTGAGAACAAGCACAGTCTAGATATGCCCAAGCCAGGTGAGACTGCCAGAGAAAGATGACAACCCCAGGCTGTCAGCAGACAGACCCACCTCTGGAATGGACAGAGATTTTCAGAAGCCTTAGGTGAGAATTAGCTGAGAAGCAAAAGGGGGCAGAAAAAGTCATGAGAAAAATTTACATTCTTTCAATTAAAGAGATAAGTGGGCCAGAAAGGAAACAGTGCCAAGGATGAAGGGGGGTTGCATTTCTAGTCTCTTTGGTTCAGAAAAGATTCATGTATAAGTTCAGCAATGTCCCTGTTGGGCCCTGCAGTCAACTGCATTTTTGGCAGAAATAAAAAAAGACCATTGGACTAATTGAATGATGCCCAGAGATAGCCAAAAACTAAACCCTTAAACAGCTGCAGTCAGCATTTCCAGAGTGCTTGTCATTTCTGCAAAGGACATGGTGTTACTCATCACCTCCAGTGCTGATTGGCCGAACTCTAAGTAATCACAGGACCCGTGCTTCTGAGCAGTTCTTTTTCAATTGGGGACACAAACTGAAAAGTTTAGCTATCACACAGGCCACCACCCCACACAGGGGCCAAGCTAAAGTTAGGGGCCACCTCCTACAACCAGGCTTCAAGCACGGAACTGAGCTGCTTAAAAGGGTCACCAACTCCTCTGAACATGAGACTCCTTATATCATAGTATTTGGGGTGCTTGGATACAGCTCCGAAATGTGGACACAGACACCAAAATTGCATTCTTATATCCTCCCAGAAAGTGAAAAGAATCTAGGCCAGGAGCTCAAAGAGACATATTAACATAATTTATTAGATTCACCATATCAACACTACGTCACTGGAAAAAATATCAGAACTGGAGGGGCATATGGAGAGCATCTGGTCTGACCTGTCGCTTTGCAAATGAGGAAGCTACACAAAGAACAGCAAAAATCATCTTGGACAAAACCAGAACGTGAGCCCAGTCCCAACAGACACATACTTAAGGCTTCTGGTTTTTGAGTCAAGTAGAACCTTGAAGGCTTAATCCACATTTGCTTTTAATTTTTCTGAGTCCCATAGTACCACATTCTGATGCTTATCTCCTTCTTAGGACTTCAGGAAGAGCCCTAAAGAAAACATAGGTCATTCAGGTCATTCAGAGCCAGGATAATAGGCTGATTATAAAGCAGAAGTTCAGGGAAAGAATTCAATCCCTCCCCAAAAGAATCTGGACTATCCACTTCTCCCAAACAAGTGACACTCAGACCCTGACACCTTAGAGCAAATACACTTGCCTGCCAGAGGATCAGATCAGGTTTGGGGAAAGAAGCAGATAGAGAAAAGAGAGAATTCTTTTCCCAGTTTTGAACAAATCCAAATACCGCCAAGAGCAGGCTATAGAACTTGGTATTACATCGATTTTAAGATGTAAGCAAAAACACCAATAACTTAGCAAAATAAATACAATGAGTTTCGCTGAGATTGATGTTACCCAGTGAAAACAGTTTTTAGGCTCGGAGTCAGGAAGACTGAGGTGTGCCTTGTACTGCGACTTAGGGAAAAACCCTAAGAGATTCTGGGAGTCTTCACAGCAGAGGGAAGTCACGTTTAAACGTCCGTGGCCCTATAGAATCTTTCTGCCAAAAGCTACTCCCCGAATATACATTCCCATCTCCCCAAAAGGCAAGGCCATCGAATCAAGTTGAGGTTCACTGGCTCTGACCAGGCCTTGACAGGTAAGCCCCATTGTCTTTCAGTGGGAGGGCCAAGTCAGCAGGGGCTGAGGATGGAGCTAGTAGAAAAGTAAACAGTTTGTTGCTAAGAACAGAGCTGTGTTTGCAGAAGGAACTTCATCTCCCCAGGACACTCTCCAGTCGCTGTCGACAGTTGTGCTGCCAGCTTGCCAGCTTCTGAGGCAAATCTTGCTACCTCTCCCAACCAGGTGAGGGCCTGGCTTCTGGGGCAGCTGAACTCCGGTCTGTAACAGAAGGGAAACTCTACCACAGAGAAAAATCGTAACTACAGGAATAAGGACCCTGCCCTGGCTCCTGCTGGCAGTATAATGTCTTCCAAAGGTCTGGTGTCCACGGGAGGCCTCATCCTCCATCCACCGGGCTTACAGAGGATAGGCGTTTGGAAGGGGCAGGACACCTGAACCCCAAGTGCAGCCAGGGGACAGTCAGGAAGTCAAAGTCAGTGCTAACAGCCTACGGGGGTGGTGGGCTTCTCCACAGGCGAGAGGTGGCAATGGCGGCGTCTTCTTTCCACTCATGTTTCCACCACTCGGATGAGAGGCAAGGGCTTGGGGCTGGGGGGCTTTGATATCCTCACGCTGAAAAGAAAGATGGAAATACTGAGTGTGAGCTGCTGCCTTCACTTCAGAGCCCCCCATCCATACTCCCTCGGGAATTCTACCCTTCAGAGTGGCTCACCTCCTGTTCCAAATATTTTGAAACACTGTGTCTGGTCTCTAAGAAAAGATTAGGGGGGATGGTATATGGTCCCTGACAGGAGTGATGGAAAAGAGGGGGAGCAACTAAGCAACTGAAAAGTAGGTATGGATGGTCTCACTCATAGCAGGAATCTAGAAAACTTAAATAAGGGACCAGGAAAATGAATAACTATAAGAAAGTGAAAATCAAAATCAACAAAAAACTATGAACCAGAGACACTTTTTGGGGGTGGGGGGCGGGAGGGGAGGGATTGGGGTCAGAATGGGGGGGGTTGCAATTGTATGGAGAATATAAAAATAAAATTTATTATTTTAAAAAAAAAAAAGTAGGTGTGGCTGTGATTCTTCATTTTTTCCAAAGTCTTGGACCTTTTTGGGAATCTCTTAGAAACAAAAGTCTATCTCCCTAGAAAAAGGCACATAAAACACACACAGTTTTTGCATCCAGTTTTCAGGGAGTTCAGAACCTCTAGCAACTATTCCTGGCCCTCCTTGAATTTGTGGTATCAAGCTCTGCTTTTACTGGCTTAAAAAACGGTGCGGGTAGAGAATGTCAGATCAGAGGCTTAGAGGATCAAGCTGGATTTAGAAGAGCCTCTTCCTTGCTTTTGCACCAAAGCAGCCACAGCTCTGTCCTACCTCCCACCCTTCCTCCCTGGGTCTGCTCCTCTTCGCCCACTCACCTGCCCAGGTTCTCTGTCTTGGCCCGGGTCTGCGTGCTGAAGTTGCCATGACTGATTTGTTTTTCTATCAGGTGTTCTATGCGGTCATGCATCTCTAAGTTCTGTAATACAGGTTAGGAGGTTAGGACCAATCTTTTCTGGCTTCCATCTATCACGTTGACCTAGCCCAGTGTGCTTTCTCCACCTCTGTGGTGACACTGCTGTCACCCCAATCACGCATGCCAGGACACCCTCACTTCTCATCTCACCATGCAGCTTGCTCCCTTCCTCCACACCTGCTCCAGCCTCCACTGAGGATGTGCTCTCGGTGGCTCTGTGCCATACTTGTCATTTCCTCTATCTCATCTCTCTATACTGTCTGTATATCATTTTTGTGGTCAACTGAGATGTTTACTTGCCCTTGTCCATAGGATTGTCTATAATGTATTTTAAAAATATGTATTTTATTCCTAACTCAAGACTGCAAATCCCTGAAGGTAAACATCCCTCTCTCCATTTCTTTTTCTCTCTCCCACAACAAGGGATCTTCCCACAGTGGCTGCAAAGTGATCTTCGGGTAGTCAAGGGATAAGGAAGAGCTTTGAGGCTGGGTGGAAATTGGACTAAGAAAAACTCAGCTAATCAAGGCCCATCACCTTAGCCATGATGATGCCTAGAGGATGCCTCCTCCTCCAAAGCCCAACTGCACTGTCAGCTCCTCTGCTGAGCCCACATGGTCAGAAAGAAGGTTCACCTCCATGCTGCCATGGCACAGGGCTTGCACCACAAAGATGTACCCCTTCAGAAGGGGGACAGGTCTTACCAACTCTCTGAAAGTTCTGGAAAATGTTTACTCAACTGAGCAGAAAATCAACTATCCAGATACTCACTTCAGAGCTGCAGCTAGAAAGGACCGAGACCCCCCCTCTGTGATCTTTCCCTCCCTTTTAGCCAGTCTTCTCTTCCCTGCCAGGTCCCTACGGCTGCCCAGCACACACCTCTGCTTCCAGGTAGGCGATTTTCTCCTTGAGCTCCTGGATGGTGGTGTCCTTTGTCTGGACCACAGCTTTTGAATTCTGGAGCTGAAAAGATGTGGGAGACACTGAGCTCACTTTTAAAATGACTCAAGACACTCTCATCAAACTTGGACCTGCTGTCGCCAGGGGAAGCGGCAAAGATGAAGGCAGGGTTTGCACCTCTCACATGATTTGCTTAGCTTTCTATAAAAGTCCTGTTTTACTTAATAGTAAACTCTGGATATCCCAGAGGGTGTGTGGGGAGCACCACTCTGAGAATCCAAAATTACGGATGATTCAAAAACCACTGCCTTTGATTTTTGGAAATACAAATGATTTATTGATTCAAGAAGTATTTATTGAGCATTTACTATATGATGGGTCCTATTCTAGACAGTGGGGAATAGCAGTGAGCAAGACTGAAGACTCCAAGTCTGGAGGTGACACCAAGCAAATGTATCCCTTCATCAGAGGTCTCACATTCCAAACCATACCCAAATTGGCATATCCTAAATCAGCGACCCTAAAGCTCAGGCGAGAGAAGCCCAAAATCTGCCATGAAGCACAAAGGTTGGTAATTTGCACACAAAGAAGATAGTTTACCGTGACTCACTCATTTACAAGCAGTCATCAGACTGTAAGGAAAACTAACCTTTTCCTTCTTTTGCCTTCTATAAGCAGAAGGCAAATGCCCAAAGAAGTAGGGCAAAGGTGGAAGAAAAGCAAATCCCAATGACCTTGTCTGGTAACTGGAAGCCATAAATATTTTATGGGGCACTTACAAATACAAGCCAGGCTCCCCAGGAGAATACATAAGTAAAAGCATGGACTTGCTAAGAACACAGTACTAGGCTCAAGGTGATTCCTTTAGGTGGGCATTATCCGGGTTCATCTGCAGCTATGGATGCCAAGCTCTAGAAACCAGGCTGACGGATGTCTCAGAACAGTCTTCAAAAGCACGTTAGGTAAGGCAAGTAAGGAGTTGACCCTGCTTACCTGCTCGATCATTTGCCGAACTTTCCGCTGCTGGCTCTTAAGCATGTCATCTAAGTGATGGATCTTCTCCCGCAACCCAGCCACTTCCTTTTCCAGGTTAGCAGTCCTGGAGATAGAGACCAGAAGGATAAGGCAAGAGGAAAAAACATTTCCTCTACCCAGTCATAGGAAGAGCCTTGGGCTGGGGGTGAAGGGGTTGCTGTCAGGTATGATTCCCTCTGCCTGACTCCCTGGTAGGCTGCCCTCAGGGGTAGGGAATAGGACCCCTTAGGACATCAATCAGAAGCATCACAGAGATCACCTGGTCCAAAAAAGGAAACTGAGGCTCAGAGAGGTTCTAAAACTACAACTAATAGGTAGGTATTCCCAGCAAGCAGTTCTTAGGCCAACATGGGAATAGACTTTCTCAGTGTTAAAGTAGTCAGAAAACAGACTGCCCTGTGTGTAATGAGCTCCTGGAAAAACTCAAGTGGGAGCTGGATTGTGATGTCCAATACAATCACACTGTTGGCAGGGATTTTACATCAAGAGGAAAAGAAGGTGGGCAGTACTTGATGTGCGGCTGGGGCACAATGCAATGGGAGCCCCACATCTTTCCTAAATCAAACATTCTAAGTTTCCACCCTCAGCTCTCTAACACCCCACTTCCCAGTCTCCTTTCATCTAGAAAATCAGCATTAATGGTGCACAGCTATTACTTGTTGTTCCCTGGGCTTTAGACTTTCAGGTCTCTTAAGTTTTTCCTGCTCTTTCCTCTCTCAGTCGCCTGCCCATGAGCACCTCTGCCATTGAGGAAGAGGGAATACTGATATTTTAAGATATGAAGTCTGAAAGGAAGCAACAATTAAGACCCCTGAATTGTCTGTGCCAGACAGGCTGAGATGGAATTTATAACAAAGGAGAGAAAACTTCCCCAGTTTACTGAAGGGTGCAGGAAGGCAAAGGCTTTATCTGTTAATCTTGGAATTCCTTAGCCTTCTCAGGTAGCCTTGTCTGTTGAATTTTAAAAGGTCCAAATCATACAATGGAGCTCAGACTCAACATGCAGATGTAAAATTTTTTTTAAAGATTTATTTATTTTTATACAAGAGCTGGGGTACAGGCCAGAGGTGTGGGAGGGTGAGAGGATTCACCAGAGACAGAATGGGGAGCAGAACAGGCAGACAACTGAAATACACTGCTGAGGGGAGCAGTGGGCGTGACAGGAGAGGTCTGCCGCGCCATATGGGTATCTCTCTGGTAGGCCGGGAATCAAACCCATGCTGCAGAGGCTGCAGACAGCTTCATAGTGTGGCGTTCAACCCACTGCGCCACCAGGGAGGCCCTGATGTAAAATTTGTTTTACCATTTGAGATCTTATTTATTAATTGTCAAGGACATAAAGAATTTCTGAATTCTTAAAGATACACAATGGCCCAATCTTTGCTCTTAGGTTGCACTACTCTGGGACCTGTGCTCCTCTCTGATTTGAGGGAATTTGCAAAACTCTCTAACCTAGATCCCAAAGATGCCCATGTACCACTGCTGAGCTGGTTCTCAGTTTCTGAGTCACTTTGGGGGATGGGAAGATCAGTTATATCTTCATGAAGCAACTCTTTGCATTTTCAGTGAGACAACTTGTGAGGAAATTATTCAGTTTCACCCTCCACTAGTTCAGTTGCCTTGTGTCTTTGGGGAGTAAACCTTGGTGTGATATTAGCATGTCCACGTCCAGCACGACACCCTGGAATGACGTGTGACATCGGCAGAGGCTTGACTAGCTCTCACTTGACCTTGACTCTCGAACCACAAAGCCTTTTCTTTAGGTTGTTACGCCATGGAAAATGACTCCCTAGAGATGGCAGCCTCCCAACCAGTATCTCCCTGGGCAGGGCCCCACCCTGAGCAGCCCAGGGTGAGTCAGAGATGGAAGATCTGACATCAGCACCAGCTTCCTCCCAGGTCTGGCCACCATGGGAGCTGCAGGCTGCTCCGCCCACCCTCCCCTCCCAGCACCCCAATCCCACAGTGAACAAGAGCCCTTACTTTTCTTGTTCTGCTCGGCAGTCAGCGTTCTTGCTCCGCAGTTCCTCCAGAGCTGTCTCCCCTTCCCTGACCTTCACCAATAAGGCCTGATGCTCCTAGATAGGTCAAAGGAAAGAAAATCTTGGATGAAGAGATGGCAACAGTTTCTGTGTTTGAGGTGATATGGGCACTAGAACTGGGACAACTGCCAAAGAGCAGCAGGCCAAGCTGGTTTGATGGGGTGCCCTCCCCTGTCAGGGATAACCCTTCCCACCCTCAGCACATAGAAGCTTCCCAGCCTCACCCAGCTGCCCGGAGGGAGAGCCTGGCCCTGCATCATCCTGGCCCACCTGCCAGCCATGGTTGCCAAGCCCTGAGAAACCAGGCCAATGGTTGTTAAGAACAGTTTTCAAAAGCCCATAAAGGGCAGCTGTACAAGCCTGACTAAAATGGAAATCAGTTCAACTCTAGTTATTGAGGGCTGAGATTAGAGGAGAGAAAGAACATTTCCTTTTCCTTAAAGGTTAGAAGGTGCTCAGACATATCAGTATTTTCCAAAGGAAGCCATGAAGTACACTTTTCTGGAGCTGCTTGTACAAGGGGAGCTTCAGCAACCATCCCAGTCAACCCCGGGGCGCCTTGCAGCCCAGGACGCAGAGCAGAGGAGAGCAGGTTCCTGCAATTACCGTCTCCATCCCTAGCAAGCGCCTCTGTAGCTCTCCAATGTCCACCTCTTTCTGCTCCACTCTGGCCTCTGCTCTCTGAAGGGCCATGTGACTCTGTTCTGCTTCTCTCTGGTAGCGACTGAGTGTCACCTAAGACACAGGATGGGGATGTATGAGGTGGTGGAAATAGAGCACACATGGATAAAACCCCAGAAAAGAACCCAGGATCTTGCAGTGGAGGGAGAAGGTGGGCAACGCCAATGAGAACACAGCCACCACCCCCTTCACTGGTGCAGGGCCACCAGGAGACTGCAGAGGAACGATTTCCAGGGTCCATGGGCAGAAGCTGACAGAGTTCTGCTTTAGAGAGACACCTTTAGCCTATAAGCACCACTTTTAGCAGCTGACTTCTTCAACACCCCACTAGCCCTCCAACGTGACCCAAGCTTAAGCCAGTATTTTGGTTTTCCTACTAATTCAAAAACAAATCATCCAGGGAGGCTCTTGCCATGTCCTTCTTTCTATTTCTCCAATTCTTCCTCACCCTCACTTCCACTAACATCACAGCGTAAACACAAAGGCCAAAATAGCATCTGGGAGGGTTACTAAGATCCAGGAAGACTTTGCATTTTTATCAAAGATGATAAGTCGATCTAAAAGGACAGAAGCAGAATTTTGGAATGAAAAAGTAAAGTAAGAACTTGCTTCCTGCCCTCCCATGTGCATTTACCAGCTCTTAATTATCCTTCAGGTCTCAGGTCAGATACCCCTTCTTCCAAGGAGCCTCTGGGCCTGGGCGAGGGGTCCTTCTTCGGTGTGCCCACGAGGTCATGCAGCCCTCCCCTCTCACAGCACAGGGTAGATTTTGCCTGGCCACTGTGTGCACCCCCGGTAGACCGTCAGCTTCATCAAGTGAATGGAAGTGATGCTCATCGAATCAACCCTTTACTTTCACAACTAAAGGTCAACTGACCTATTCAAGGCTACAGAGCTGGTGTATGACAGAGCCAGTGCACTTCAAAATCCATTTCAGGCCCCATGGTTACCCCACGTTGACTCCTCTATCAATCACTCTGGGTAACCTCTGGAGAGCCTCCCTGCTCCTGGGAAAATAGCACAGCAGTAGCCAGTTTGGCGGGCTCCTCCCAAAGTCAAAGCAGGGAGGAGAGAATGAAATACAGGATGATGTGTGAAAAGACGTGTCCATACTGCACTGGTGCATCCAGGGCAAACCTGCTGCAAATTCGTCCTGCCAGCAAGCAGCCAGCAGGTTGGGATCCATGCTGCATGCAGGCTTTTTTCACGATAATTGAATCTTGTCCGTCCTACCCTCAGGTTCAGAATAGTAAACAGGAGAGTCTAATTCCCTATGAGAGACTAAGAAAAACCTTCAAATGCCCATGTTAGCCTGGAACAGGCCAGTCCACTGGGCAGGAACTTAAAAACAAGGCTTTTTGTTTGTGTCGTTAAACACTACACCAGGTTGATATATGCTGGGAGCACAAAGGTAACGGCCATGGACTAATCCTTGCACCCTGTGTAGAATTACAAAGGAAAAATAAAACACTCCCCTGCCTTCAGGGACATCTGTCCCTGTAGCTCCAAGTTGGCCCTGCCCTAAAGGACGCTCTCACAAAAGGGTATGCCAACCTACACCGAAGTGGGAACAACCCAAGTGGCATCTCCATTGTAGGTGGGTGCTGAGGAGCACGGGGTTAAATGGCAGTCCTTTCTGAAAAAGCAGGGGCCCATGGCCACAGCTGTGAGGGGCATTCTGGACTTCGGCGTTTTTACTTGGGGCCATTTTGCCCAAGTTTTGAAATGTCAGGTTAGCAGCATCCTCTTTGTCTGGTCAAAACTGAGAAGTACTTCATAATGCAAGGCAAACCTTACTTCCTTTATTTTTTTTAAATTTATATATATTCTACATCACCGTTAATTTTTAAACAATGTTTGCCTTTCCCCGCCCCCTCCAGGTGTAGTCCCATAAGGCAAACATTTCTTTCTAAAATTCACAGTCTGGTAGGTGCTCCAGCCTCAACCTCTGCGTCCTCCTGCTCTGTAGGGAACTGCTGGTCACCACACTGATACATCGCCAACCAAATGACCCAAACTGTGGAATCTGAAATCGACGCAGCAAGTACCTTTCTCAGCAGACTTCTTTACCATACAGATATCTTGTTCTGAGACCAGATTAATCTTAGTATAGCCCTAAAGTCCAAACTATTCAGGGCAGGAAAGCCTGTGTAGCAAATTGATCACAAAGAAAAATATATAGGGAATCTTGTATTTCTAAAGCCCTTTAGAGTGATAAACGTGTATGTTTATTACCTCATTCTAATTGCCCACTGACTGGAGAGGTATATTTCATGACTTCTTTTTAAAAAAGTTAAAACTGGTACTTTGGGAGGTTAAAATATTTGCTCAACTAAGACAGACTACTTTAGGGGCAGGTGATGGGCCTCAATGCCCTTCCTCTTCCTCCCAATCTTCTTCACAAACATTCTTTCTAGTCCCATGAAAGAGAAGAGCTCAGGCTGGCCTTCTTTCCAGCAGCTCCTGGCGTGCCTGGGCAGGACATAATCCTATCATTACATATTTATGACCTAAAAAATACTTTCCGTGTGGATGAACAACAGCAGATAACAGATGGTTAATCTCACACAGAGCAATTTAAAAGACTGCCCAAGCTCTTCTGCCCACCTGTGACTATGCAGGTGCCTCTCTTTTTCTTTCTCCTTTTCCTAACAAATCTGTTCTTTCAAAATGTAAAAAAAAAACTTCTAAGATTAAAAAAAAAAAGGTAGAAAACTGACAGTGTTCACCCAGTGCATCTTCATTTTATACTTCAAGTATTTTCTGTGAAGTGTGGAAGATTTTCCACACTTTTAAGAATGGGAAGCCTTCACTCTCTCTTTATAGGCTTTTGTATTTTTTTTTTAAAGATTGATTTATTTACGCATACAAGAACTGGGTTACAGGCCAGAGGTGCGGGTGGTGAGAGTATTCATCAGAGACAGAGTGGGGAATAAAACAGGCGGACTGTCTGTAATACACTGCTGAGGGAAGCAGCAGGCGAGACAGGAGAGGTCTGCTGTGCCATGTGGGTTAGCCCCCTGGCCGGGGATTGAACTCATGCTACAGTGGCTGCCCATCGTTTCATAGTGCTGCGACTTAACCCTTTGTGGCACCAGGGAGACCCGGCTTTGTATTTTTTTAATCTTCTATAATAACCTAGTATTGCCTTTATCACAGTAACTGAAGAACTCATTCAAGGTCACAAAGCTCTGTGTGGTAAAGCCACGACTAGGCCTAAAGTTGCCTCAGCCATGGGCACAGCTCTGGTGATGACGGCACCAGCTCTTCCACTCACCCTGACGAGGTGCCCACTGGGGGATGCACAGCAAACTTGACAGCAACAGTCCTTGCCTGCTTGGTGCCCACAGCCCAATCATTCTTACTGTGGTGCTTATAGAAATGACTTAAATTACCTGCTGCTCCCAGACCAGCACCACCACACAACTTCAACAGAGGCAAGAATCAAAAGCTGACCTTGGAATGATGGGCCAGCTGTAGACAATAAAAACTGTGACTCTCCCCGAGAAGGAAAAGTAGGCAGGCAGGAAGTACCTGGGCCTCAAAGCCTAACCTGTCTAGTTGATGACACCCAGCCAGAAAGACATGAAGTCCATGCTGACAAAGTCACTGGCACCTACACCCAGCAGCCCAACCCTGGGGCACTTTTTCCCCAAATTCCAAATCTCACCTCAAAAGTCACACGGTCTGACTGGTGCTTCCGCTCAGCCTCCTGCAGTTTGGCAAGCAAGTCCAGCACAGTCTTCCTCAAGCTATCGGCATCTTCGTTTAAATAGGTGTCCACCTACAGCCAGATCAGGAAAGGGAAGGTGAATCACTGTGTTTGCAGCAGGGTAAGGACACAGGTGCACACAATTGGTTTGAACCATCTTGTCCATTCACATCACACAAGGGGAGAGTTAGTTGGAGGTACCCACGAGTGCTGAATTATTCATTTGAAAGCATTCTCTTTTCATACCCTAAAGAACTCAACTAGTCTTAAAATACCCAATTACCTTAGGACACACCCAGCAATTCTTACACATGTATCTACTGATTGATTAATAGGGACGTCTGTGCCATCTTTGCGTGTGTGTCCTGCTTCCATCAGACCAGAGATCTCTGCAGCAGGGAACATGTTCCCCTTTGCACTACACTTCCCTTAGGGCAGAAACCACCACCCCACAAGGGGAGCATCGCAAAGACCCATCTTTTGTTGTTCTCTGTACCTAGCCCAGAGATCAGAGCATAAAGAATTCCAGATGAATGGGCAAGTTTAGGGCAAAAGAAGCCAACAAGTCCAGCTATCTGATTTGATGTAGGAAAAGGTGTCTCATCAGGTTATTGTGAGTCTCACACCTGGACACACCCAGTTGTGGGTGGGTGGTTAAGGCTGAACTGGCATGTAGGGTCTCGCTCCCATCTGCACACAGGCACCAGATGCTGCAGTTACCGGTTCCCTGTGAGTCTGACAGAAAATTCTCTCTGTCTTGCACAGTGGGAAGCAGCAACAACTTCAAGCCAGAGCCTGGGGCTCTCAGCTGGCAGGAGGGCAACAGGGTTGCAGGGCTGCCTGATACAAGCCCTCTGGGCTCTGTTTCTCTATCTGAGAAGCAGGAAGAAGTCTCCTCGCCATGCTTTGCCTTACTGGTAGGCTGCCTCAAAAATAAGATAATATCCAGTAGGGCCTGGGGCTTATGAGAAGAAAGAAGCTGAACAGATAATACCAGGTGTTATTACAGCTTGTTGCCAACAGCATATTTGCCAAATATGGTGACTCAGGAGGAAGGGAAAAATCCAAAGTGCACATCTCGAGCATTCGAGTGGCTGGAATCCCAAGCTTCCAAATCTCCAGGTCTGTAAGTTATCTGGTCAGTTCTTCTGTGTGCATGCACTGAGGCTGCTGGACAGGGCAGGTGAGAATGCTATGAAAGGCCCCTGAAGCATAACTATAATGTTTATTTTAAGAGAGGTTCTCAGGAGATTTTTTTAATCACCTGAAATATTTTTATGATGTACTGTGAAGAGAAAAAAATCTTTACAAGTAGGAGTAGCAGATAACAAACTAGATTTTTAACACAGGAACACAAAGAGATCCTAAGTACATGGTGCTGGTTCAAAAGGAAAAAACAGAAAGACAATACAAGTCCATTATGAAAACTGAAAACATATGTGATCGATGTATTTAAATCATACATTGCATATGTTAGAGTATCTGCTTGTAGGAGAGAAGACCAGCGAGAGACCTACATGAGACCAGTGATGATAATGTGGTCTGAACTGATGGCAGGTATGACTCAACTCTGCATGTGAGGGCCAAAAAAACCCCAACCAAAGAAACAAATACAGGGAAATATTATGTATACATAAACTTAATATTGTAAATATGTATTTTCGTTAAAGGAACCAAAGGAAATTTCACCAAGCTCTGGTTTTAATTTGGGTAGGTTACAATGGATATTCTTCCCTTCATTTTTCTGTTTCTGATTTCCAAATTTTCTACAATAAGATTTCTTGTATTTTTTATAAATCAAAAAAATATAACAAATGCCATTTTTTCAAAAGCACAGCCAATTACACCTCAACAAAGCTGGAAAAGATAAAATAAAAACACACAGCCATTGGAAGAAACATATGTGGTTATTCAAAGGTGTGAGATAGAACTATAATTACTAATGTGGAAAGAAGGCTATTAACAATCTTCTGTTGAAAAATATTAAAAAGTAAGCATAGGTACATTTGTTGTGTATATAGAGCATAGTATCAATATACAGATTTTATAGATGCACATATAGCATTAAATATGATTGCGTATAGAAAACACTAGAACATTGGTACTCAACTTCCACTAAACAGATTTTTATTTTTTTTTATTTTTTTTTTTTTTTTTTTTTTTATTTATTTTTTTTTTTTTTAGAGGCATGTTTTTTATTTGTTTGTTTGTTCGTTCGTTTTGTTTATACATTGTTTATACATGCACTGGGTACAGTCAGAAGCCGGGAGGGCGAGAGAATTCACCAGAGCCAGAGCGGGGAGCAGAGCAGGCAGAAGGACCGAAGTACACTGCTGAGGGGAGCAGCGGGCGGCAGGAGAGGTCTGCCCGCCATGTGGGACCCTCCTCCGGTGGCCGGGGAGCAGCCGGGGATCGAACCGGCGCCGCGGAGGCCGCGGGCAGCTTCGCAACCCAGCGCTCAACCGCTGCGCCACCGGGGAGGCCCTAAACAGATTTTTAAAAAAGATTTATTTATTTATGCATACAAGAACTGGGGTATAGGCCAGAAGCATGGGGGATGGGGATGAGAGGATTCATCAGAGACAGAGTGGGGAGCAGAACAGGTGGATCTACTGAAATACACTGCCGAGGGGAGCAGTGGGTGAGTCAGGAGAGGTCTGCTATGCCATGTGGGTAGCTCCCTGGCTGGGGATCAAACTCGTGCTGCAGTGGCTGCAAATAGCTTCATAGGTTGTGTCTTAACCCCTTGCGCCACCAAGGAGGCCCCTCACTAAACAGATTTTTAAATCACCTATAGAATCACCTAAAGTGGCCAGGCACCAGACCAATTAACTCACTCTCTGGGAATAGCACAGGGGCATGGTTCCAGGGCCTCAGATGCTTCCAGGGCCACTCCAATGGGCAGCCAAGGCTGAGAAGCAGAAAAGGATCCACGCACTTAATCTGTTAACAGTGGATACTCCCAAGGAGGAAGAAGCTGAGATGAAAGAAGAGGGAAGGCAAGGAGGGAGGAGGAGGTAAAGGAAGGGGAGAGGAGGGCAGGGAGGGTTGGGGAGAGGAAGAAGTAAAGTGTTCCAGTGCTCTGTGGGGAAATGGAAAGAGGAGGGAGTAGAGAAACACATGCAGCCTCGGAAAGAGTCCCCTAGCCTTATAGGGAAGATGAAGGAAACCTCAGGCTAAAACCTCTCAGCAGACTGGAAAATAAGCAGACCCATTCCTTGTAGCCCAGGGAATACAAGCAACTGCCTTCCACAAAGAGTTTCACTTAGTCCCTTAGGGGTCCTGATAAGGTGTAGCAAAGCATGAATCAACAGGAGAAGAGGCATTTGCAATTCTTTTTTACCCAATGCCTGATTATTCACTATGAGGGCTAGTTTGTGCTAACAAAGGGCTAGGACCTTTGAGTCAGTCTCTGAGCACAGGAGGTTCGTCTGCCACCTGACAAAGCACCTCCCACCAGCCAGATGAGCTCAAGCAGTGAAAGTCCTACCTTCAGTCAAGCAAAATGAATTGGGGCAGGTTGCCACACAAGCCAAGTACACACCCAAGCCAGAGAAACTTCGCGGTGCCAGGTTCGTGGGCACTGTTCTCCTGGTAAGTGCTAGAGAAAGCCCAGCCCACACAAACCAAATGCAAATAAAAGAGATACAGCCCATAAGTCAAAGGTGGATGAGGGTGATCATGGCAGAGATAGTTCTGTTATCCTGAGAACAATTCTATTTTAGGGAGGCTGAAAAGCAGGATCCCAGGATTATCCATCCCCAAATGACTTCTCCAATCAGTTCAATCAAGTGAACTTTTACTGAAGACCTTCCACATCCCAGACCCTTTGCTGGAGGAGTAGGGTTATAGAGATAAAGGGTGAAGGCCTAACCTTGAGGAGCTTCCCATCCCCGGCAAAGAGTTACACACAAACAACAGAGGAGGGCTGAGAATTCCAATTTATACTACAGGCGTCACCCAAATGAAGCAAAATCAACTTACGAGAAGTTTGGATTTATACATGGTTGTCTGCTTTACAAGATTTTATATTACAAGAAGATTGATCACAGAATCCTGATAGACAAGAGGTTTTGTGAAATTTTATTTCTATAAATTCCATAAATATTTATTTCCTAAAAGCAGGTATACTTATATAAAGATTTATTTACTTATGCACACAAGAGCTGGGGTACAGGTGAGCATGTGGGGGGTGAGAGGATTCACAGAGACAGAGTGGGGAACAGAACAGGCAGATCTCCTGAAATACACTGCTGAGGGGAGCAGCAGGCGAGTCAGGAGAGGTCTGCTGCACTGTGTGGGTTGCTACCTGGCCTGCCGGGGATCGAACTTGCAGACAGCTCCATAGGCCGTGTCTTAACCCCTTGTGCCACCAAGGAGGCCCAGGTGTACTTATACAAAAGCTGATGTAAGTAAAGCAAAAGCTCCTCTGCTGGAGAGCCCTGCCAAGGTTGTGAGTGCCCAGCAGAGCCTAATGCTCTCTTTTCTTGCCAGTATTGTTAGATTCAGCACCCAGTGGGTGACGGGCAAATGGGACTGCCTGGCACAACCCCACTTTCTTGGTGGGGACCCAGCAGGGACCGTTTCCCATTACCTGTATCTCCTGTTGATGGAGAGAATCTCCTGGATCTCTGTCGAGCTTGCTACTTATGTCTTCCCGGAGCTTCTGCAGGCAGTTCCTGGCCTGGGAGAGGAAGGCAAGAAGCTTTAGCTTTGGCATAGGGAAAGAGAGCACACCAACCACCCACCACTCTATACTCCTGTGAGTCCCGCACTGCTGTAAGCACAGCTGGGGAGAGTGGATCCAAGCCAAAAAGGGGGTACAGACTAGTCCCTTCTATACAAGCCCAGATGAAGCTAATGTTTTAGTTATAGGTGACAGGTGTCAAGGAGAACCATAAGCCAGGGAGAAGGTCAGGAAAAGTTGGGGAGGTGAAGCTGGCAATTTGAGATAGCATGGCTAGGGGAGAACACTAGGCACATGGTATTAATTTGTTAATGAAAGGATAGGCTGATTCATTAAAGGGTCAAAAATGTTATTTGGTACATGAGAGGGCATGGTGGTACTTTGGAGATAAGGGAGCAGAAGGGAAAAAGTAGGAACCCACCAAGTATGGAAAGGAACCAAAAATAAAAAAAAGTAAGTTTAAGAAAAATGATCCCAGTCACTTCCGTAAGGGAAGGGTACCCACCTCCTGGATGTACTGGACCTCACTCTTCAGCTGATCAATATTCTTCTCATGGATCATCTTGTCTCCAGACCTCCCCTTCAAGTACACCTGAAGTAACGAAGATAGCACTATTTTGTTATGACAACTCAAGCTAAATTAATTTCATGACAACAGTCAGCCTGGCATGAAAGTAAATATATTACCACCTTTCTGGGTAGCAAGTTGGTGATTCAGATTAGAAAACTTAAAACTATATTTACTCTTTGATCTATGAAATCTACTTGTGGGAATTTATCCTAATGAAATACACTTAGTTCAAATGGTAAAAACAGTCACATGTATATATGTAAATTGATAGGCAGGGGTTGTAAAAGGTATTACACATTTCTCCCTGTATACCATGCTGGAGCCTTTTACAGTTGAGAAAATTTTGGTTTTTAATTGTATCATAAACCACACATAGTAACATATATGTTCAGCAAAATGTTTCTGGCAGCAAAAAGTGAAAATCAGACAAAATATCCACCAATGGGCAATTAATTAAATAAATTATGGCATGTCTATAATAGAATATTATGGAGTACTTCAAATGCCAGATATTTACATTTATGGACACAGAGATATTATAAACTACCACTTAAGTGGGAGGGAGAGCAAACTGGAAGAGTATATAGTACAATTTGATTTTTTCACAAAATACATAGTATAGAAAGAAAAATGTCTGAGAGGATACACAGTAAAGTATGACCAATGATTATACTGATAGAATTATGGGTAATTTTGCTTTCCTCAAGGGCCATGACATGACTTGGAATAAGAAAAAGAAATTAAATAAAGGATTCAGATTGGAAAGGAAGAGGTCAAATTAATTTGATTTGCAGTGATGTGACCACTGTATATAAATTATCCTAAGGAATCCACTAAAAAACTGTTGGAACAAAGAATGAGGTCAGCAAGGTTGCAGGATATAATGTCAATATACAAAAACTAGTTGTATTTTGACATTGTGTTTCTTCAAAGGTGATAAACAAATGGGAAATGAGCATGTGAAAAGATGGTCAATTTTATTAGGGAAATGCAAATTAAAACTACAGGACACCACTTCATATCATCTAGGAAGGCTATAATCAAAAAGATGGATAATAACAAGGGTTGCTGAGGATATAGAGAAATTGGAACCCCTCATGCATTATTGGTTGGAATATAAATGGAGCAGATGCTCTGGGAAACAGTCTGGTAGTTCCTCAAAAGATTAAATACAGGGTCTGCCTGGTGGCGCAGCGTGTTGAGCGCCGGGCTGTGAAGCTGTCCGCAGCCTCTGCAGCACGGGTTCGATTCCCGGCCGGCCAGGGAGAAACCCACATGGCATGGCAGACCTCTCCTGCCTGGCCCACCGCTCCCCTCAGCAGTGTCTTTGGTCTATCTGCCTGTTCTGCTCCCCACTCTGTCTCTCTCTGGTGAATTCTCTCACCCTCCTGCGCCTCTGACCTATACCCCAGTTCTTGTATAAATAAATAAAATCTTTAAAAAAAAAAAGATTAAATACAGAGTTACCATACAACCTAGCAATTCCACTCCTAAATATGTGCCAAGAAATTAAAAACCTATGTTCACACAAAAGTTTGTACATGAATATTCATAATGGCATAAGTCAAAAAGTAGAACAACCCAAGTGCCTACTAATTGATGAATAGGTAGCAAAATGTGGTACATACATTCAAGGTAATATTCAACCATAAAAAGCAATAAGTACTGACATACGTTACAAAATGGTTGAAGCTTGACAATATTATTTTTTTTTTTAAAGATTTTTATTTATTTATACAAGAACCAGGGTACAGGCCAGATGCGCAGGAGGGTGAGAGGATTCACCAGAGATAATATCTGCTGTGCCATGTGGGATTCTCGCTGGCCGGGATCAAACCCATGCTGCAGAGGCTACAGACAGCTTCACAGTGCTGTGCTCAACCCACTGCACCACCAGGGGAGGCCCAGTGACAATATTATTTTAAGTGAAAAAAAAAGACACTAGAGAGCACATGTTGTATGATTCCATTCATATGAAATATCTGAAAAAGGCAAATTCATAGAGACTGAAAGTGGTTGGTGATTGCCAGGAGCTGAGAGGAGTGACTAAAAATGTTCTGGCATGAACAGTGGATGTACAACTCTGTGAATGTACTAAAAGCCACTACCTGTATACTTTGAGTCGACTTTATGCTCTGTGAATTATGTCTCAAAAAGCTGTTTTTAGAACAAAGTGAGTTGTATAAACACCCCCTTTACCTCCTGCCTCCACAATCTCCAGCTGGCAAACGGAGAGTGAACAGGCTCCCAGACAGGTTGTGCCACCATGCCTAGGCCGGGGTAGGTCACACCAAAGTCACTATAAGGTAGTGGTGTCCTGGTGCTAATTAGGCTCTTTCCAGGAGAGCCAAGAACCAGCATTACAGATCTGGTTCTTCTGAGTCAAACCACAAACTCCTTTAGGCATAACCAGTTGCTCCCTCTCATGTTTGCAGAGAGGATGAGAGAGGAAAGACAAAGTGGAGGTGAACTGAGCTTACTTACCTTAATGATCTCCTCATGTCCATCGTTGGACTCCACCAATTCTGAGGCCAGAGAATGACCAGTTGAGTAGCCAGACACCATGGCATAGGTCTTCCTGCCAGCCTGAGAGAGAGAGAGGTAGAGAGATTCAGAAATCATGAAAAGTCCAGAATTGAGCCTCTTTACCAACGCAAAAATCTGCTCCTCAAGAGACGTGAAAGGTTAGCAGAATTTGCCCTCTAAAACTTCATCTCAGGATCTCTACCAGAAGTTACACAGTAGTAAGAACATCAGACAGGGAAAATTAGTAGAAATTGCGGTTAGTTTTCATTTTAGTAGCGGTCTCCCATTCCCGGAAGCTGCGCATATGCTGAGGTCAGCAAGATGTGCCTGAAAGGAAGCGCTCCCAAATTCACAGCAGCAGAGTGGCTCCAGCAGTCAGGGGTGAGAGTCAGTAGCAAGTAAGAACTGGTTGAGGGGAGGCCTCACCCCACCAGAAACCTCAATACCTTCTGGGCTATGTGTTCAAGTTCCTCTCCTGTCAGTTCACTCTGCAGAGTCAGTCTGAGAATGTCCACGCTGCCCTAGTAATGACAACGACAGCAACAATAACCCTTTACCTTTACAGTCTACTATTGGTACAAGGTGCACTTTTGCTGAAACTATGGAGTGGGCCTTATTATCACCATCTCACAGACAAGGAAAGCTGAGGTCCAGAAGGGTGACATTAGCTTTCCCAAGATCAGGTCTCTCCTGAGTGGTGGAATGTCTCAGAGAGGTGGGGGCTCTGACAGTGCTCTTTATACTGCAGAAAGGCTGCACAGCAGGCTGCTCCAAGCAGCTCCATAGGGGAAGGAAGGGACTCCCCTCCCCTAACTCTGAAGAGGGCATTCCTGGCTTGGTCATCCCAATTCAGAATTTCTGTACCTGACAGCCAACCAGGAAGTTACTGGTGTACTTTACAAGCCTATGATGTCTTTCCTTAACCAAACTACCATTTCTATATAGCCACACAGACATTATCCAAATAAAAGCAGGCAAGACAATAGTTATTCATCTAGATATGAGCCTAGCTTCAAAGGAAGAACCAGGTTTTCTTTTATAACTCAAAGGTTAAAAAAACACATTGTGGGGAAAATACAAAGCCTAAGGGGAAAAACGTGGTAAGAGGTAAAAGTGCTGGGATTGGATATCTGGGGAGATAATAGCATAGGCAGGGTCAGCAAGGGAGGGTAGGCCAAACCTTGCCAATAACCTGTAGAGGTGGATGAGGGGCTCAATCATTCTGATACACTGGTTCCCATTTGATAAATGAGAGGTTAGACATAGTAAAATTAACCCTTGAACTATGCAGGGGTGTGGAGGAGGTGAAGGTACGTTAGGGGTACCCATTGCTGTCCCCCAACTCCTGGGCACAGTTGTAAATCCAAGGATATTTATAGTCAGTACTTAGTGTCTGCAGGTTCACCAACGGATTGATAGCTGTATTGAATCAGACAGAGTCTAACAGTTAACCCTTTGTGGGAGTATACACCTTTCCCAGGCAATACAGCAAAGTCAATGATGATCTATCCAAAGGTGAAAGTGATCTTGATGTCATCTGCTCATCCCCTGTCTTGAGGCCCAACAGGATAAAGGCCATTCTACCCTTACCATGTTTTAAGAATCCATCCTAACCTTCCAAGTATCTGTTAGAAGGAAAGGAGGAAGAAAGGTTGGCATCTTCCCAGGGAGTTGGTAAGTTTCCTGGACAGGCAACTACAGAAGGAGCAAGTCAATTTCTGCAATGAGAATACTACCATCCAACTAAAGGTAGGGTTTTTTTGTTGTTGTTGAAGATTAACTGAAAACATACGAAGGTTGTTCTCTGTCACATAAAGAAATATTCAAATAATAGCCTCCTCCTAGTTCTTAGAATGAACCCAAATTTAAGAAAGACAGAAGACACTCCCACAATAGTCCTTAAGCCTTCCCAATCTTGGCAATGTAGCTGGTTTTACAAAAACACTTAATTCCTACAAAATAAATGTCAGATCCTAACGTGACATTTAAGGCTCTCAACAGTCTGAGTCAATTCACCTATCTTGTTACTGCCCCTCCTTGCCTGCCCCCTCAATACATCCCTTGCCCTCCCACTTCAGTGCCTTTGCTTTCTACATTTCCTTTGCCTTAAGTGTCCTTTCTTTTCATCTGGGGTATCTGCAGGTCCCTCAAGAGTCATATTCAAATGCCACATCTTCCATGACGTTTCCCTATACCCTGTGGGTAGTACACCCTCCCCGCCCTGAGCTCCCTCAGCATCACAGGGCCTCCTGTGGCACCTGCCTCTCCATCACTTGTGATCCATGAGGACTGCCCCTTCTGACTGTTAACTCCCCGAGGACTGTTGTCACAGCCCTTAACACAGGTTAAGTATTTTCCGAATGTAGAATGAGTGCTCCGTGATACCTAGGTCAAGATGTTACAAAGAAAGAAGAGGAAATGATTTCAAAATTGCCAGAGTGGCTGCCAGCTCTTTCCCTCCAGAACAAAAGCATGCACTTTGCTTAAAACATTTCCCCATACCTACAGGCAATTGAGAAAAGCCGGGACAACAAAGGAATCAGCCAGTGAAGCTGGGAATTAGCCGGGTCATTGCATGAACCCAGGCATTCTAACTGTAAGAGCACAGACAGCTAGGCTGGGTTGGTGCCTAGACAGATCATCTTAGCCATTCAAGTTAACACAGATGGAGAGGAGAAAGGGGACAAGTTGAAAATTATTCAAGGCAATGATAGCTGAAACCGCCCAAATTTGGCAAAAGACATAAACCTACAGAACTGAGCAAATCCCATACAGGGCAAAACCAAAATTCTTGCCCAGAAACATAATTAACTCTATCCAAAAACAGCAGAATACACATTCTTTTCAAATACCTACAGAACATACACTAAGACAGACCCTAATCTGGACCTTAAAGTAGACCTCAACTCATTTGAAAAAACTGAAATCATAGAGTATGTTCATCTGCCTATAATGGAATCAAACAAAAAATAAATAAGAGAAAGACAACAGGAAGATTTACAAATACTATGAAACTAAACAACATACTTCTAAGTAATCCTTGAGTCGAAAAGGCATTCTCAAGGAAAATAAAACAATCATTAAACTGAATGAAAATGAAAAAACAAAATGTCAAGCTCTGTGGGACACAGTTAAAGCAGTACTGAGAAATTCATAGTGTGTTAAGGAAAGCTGGGGGGGAGGAGGGAGAAGGGTTGGGAAGGAAGGTCTCAAATCAATAATTTAAGCTCTCACAACAAGAATTTAGAAAAAGAACAAACTAAACCCAAAGCGAGCAGAAACAAGGCATTAATAAAGGTAAGAACAGAAATAAATAGTTCACAGAAAAACTATAGCGAAAAATCAATGAAACAAAGATCTAGTTCTTTGAAGAGACAAATGAAATTGATTAACCTCTAGCAAGACTGACAAAAAATAAAAGAGAGAGACACAAATTACCAGTATCTGGAATGAAATAGGAAACTTCTACAGACTCTGCAGGTATGAAAAGGAGTAGGCAATACTCTGAATAACTCTATGAGCATAAATTTGATAATTTAGATAAAATAATCAAACCCTTGAAAAACACAAATTACCTTAATTCACCTGATATGAAATTGGTAATAAGAATAGCTTTATAATTATTGGGGAAATTAAATTTACAATTTAAAGACCTCTAAAAAGAAATATCCAGATCCAGATGATTCCACCAGAGAATTCTATCAAATGTTTTTTTAAAAAATAGTACCAATTGTATTGCTATATAATCTCATCCAGAATATAGAGGCTAGTCTTATCCTGGTACCAAAACCAGACAAACACAATAACAAAAATAAAGAAAACTATAGAAAAATTACAGTTTTTTTACATTAATAAAAAACATGAAAAGACATTTTACTGAAAAAAGATATACAGATGGCAAATAAGTACATAAAAGGATGTTCAACATCATTAATCATTAGGGAAATGCAAATTAAAACCACAGTGAGACACCACTACATACCCATCAGAATGGCTACAATAAAAAATAGTGACAAACCAAATGCTGACAAGACTACAAAGATATTGGAATCACTCATACACTGCTCCTGGGAATATAAAGTGACAGCCATGCTGAAAAGCAGTTTGGCAGTTTTTTTAAAAATTCAACATACAACAACCATATGACCCAGCATTTGTACTTGTGGGTATTAATCGTGGAGAAATGAAGACTAATGTTCACACAAAAACTGGTACTTTAATAGCTTTATAATAGCCCCAAAGTAGAAACAACCCAGATGTCCTTCAATAGGTGAATGATTAAACAAATTGTGGTATATCCATAAAATGGAATATTTACTACTCAGCAATAAAAGGGAACAAATTACTGGTGTATAACAGAATAAAATATTGAGGCAACAGCAACTTCCAGAGAAATTATGCCAAGTGAAAGAAGCTAATCACAAAAGGCAACAGACTATATGATTCCACTTACGTAATATTCTTGAAATGACAAAATTAAAGCCATGGAGAACAGGTTAATGATTGCCAGGATTAAGAAGATGGAGGCAGGAAGAACATGGGTGTGGCTCTACAAGGTAAATCTGGATTATCTTTGGCTGGCAGGAATATTCTGTTTCTTAATTGTACTGATAACAAATTTGGTTTGTGATAGTGTATTATCATTTTTGCCAAAAGTTACCATGGAAGAAAAGGAAGTACAGGGCACAGGGGATCTCTATTATTTCTTACGGCTGCACATGAATTTACATTTATCTTTTAAAACAAGAGGTAATTAATACTTTCAGAGACCAAAAAAATTAAAGAATATAATGAAGAAAATAAGCACTTATAAACATACTATTCAAAAATAATCATTATTAAATGTTAGTGGATTCATTATAATTTTTCTGTGTACATTAAAAGGCGTACTTCGATACTCAGTTATATATTTGATCCCTCCCCCAATATGTCATCATTAATTTCTATCACAGTAAACATTCTTCAAAGTTGGCTTTTAATGAATAAACTAAATTGTTCAACCTAACACCCACCCTTCCTTTGTTCTTATATTTTTTAATTTTAGAAAATATATTCTACTTGGATAGTGAGAACGAGGTGACACACAACAGTACCTCGATCACCATCAGATTAACTTGTTGGCCCACTGGCCCTGAAGTCCAATTTGACTTACTCCTTTGTAGAAAAAGAATGGGATCAGGAACAGTGACCTTGACTCAAACACTGCCTCTGACTTTCATTTGTTGTGTGTATTGATCTTATTCTCCCTCAATCTTGGTATTTTAGTTGGTAAGATAGATAACCTGACACTTAAGTGAAAACGTAGTACCAAATACATATAACTTTTAAAAAAATGCCAACTCCTCAAAATCTGATATAGTGCTCCTTTTCATAATATTTTCACAAACATATTTCCTATATTTACAGATCAGTAAATATGCCTTGTTATTAGAAAAGAGGTATATTGACCCTTACCTTACATCACATGCAAACATCAATCCATGTGGATTGCAGATTTGAAAGTAAAAAGGAAAATAGTAAT